GCCCTCCCTCCTCTCTCCCTCTCCTCTTCCTAGTCTCAGCCTTGGCGAGGTGATGAGTTAGGAACCAGGAGCTGGCACTTCCGCCAAGCAATTAGCGTTTCTCTCCCTTGTTTACGTGGCTGAACAAGAGTTCGTTTTCAAACTTAATACTCAGAAAGATAAAATTGCCTGGGCCAATCTTGGGAGGTGATTTGAGGGTTTGGTGGGAGAACAAGGGTGGGTCTGAGCTGGGTGCACGTCCCCAGCCTCCAGCACCCATCTCTGGACAGTTATTCCTGGGATGAGATGGGTTAGGGCCCCGATATTACCCCTCTGGCCGCCCTCTGCAGTGGATCGGGAGGAGGGTACACAGGTCCCCATCTCATGGGTGGGAATCTGAGGATGACAGAAGGCAGGGGTTCCATCGTGGATTCCATCTCACACCTCAGCTGGTGTTCTGCCTTGTCCCAGAGGCCCCCACTCTAACGCTCATGTGTCCCCTACAGAAGCTGCAGACTGAGCCTACATTCCCCCCAGCCCCACCGCTCAGGCCTGCCCTTCAGAGGGAACCCAGCAGCCTCCCCGCAGAGGAAGCCCAGCAGCAGAGCCCTTGATGAACTGACCTTCCCTCCCCACCCCTGCAGCTTCCAAGCCAGGTCGGTACGGTTTGGTGCATAAGCAGCAAGCCCCTCGCTCCTGCTCAGGCTAGGGGCCTGCCTTCCCATGGTAACACACCCCCGCAGTCTAAGATAGGCAGGTCTGCTTACAAAGAGAAATGGAGGGAGGAAGGGGCTCACCTTGTGGAAGGGATGCTGCTGGCAGAGCATCTGGACAGCCTGGGCTTCAGGAGGGAGACCTAATGCCCATTAACCACAGTGAACTGCCGCCACCTCCTGGCAATGTCTCAGAACTGCAGGAAGCCTTTACGCAGTTTCTGGGGCTGGGCGAAAGGACAGCCAGCCTAGCGGCCCCAGCCCCTGCCCCTCCTGTCCAAGTGTCAAGAGGTTAAGAGGGGTGGGAAATCAAGTGTGGTCCCACGTGGGAATGCTGTTGTGGTGGTTGTTTTCACCGTCATTTATTTGACAATAATAATATTATCGGTTCCCAATTATTGAGCAATGCGAGGTACCTTGTTTTTCACAACAACCTTGCATTATCCCACCCTCATTTTACAGAGGGGTACGTGAACTCGGACAGGCTGGGTGGCTTGCCCAAGGTCACAAAGCTGGTGAGTGGTGGGGGGTCTGGCTCTAGACTCTAACGCTGCTATAGACCATGCTGCCCTTGGAAGCCCATGGCATAGCTCCCCGACAATGAAATGCCCCTGTGCCCCTTTGCTGGACATCCTCCCGACTCCTCTTCTGCTCCTGTTACCCTCCTTTCCCCCATCCCTCCAGCCTCCCTCCCCATAACTGCTTCTTGGCCTCCAAGGCCTGTTCACACACCCTGTTCCTGGTTCTAGGCTACCAGGGAGAACATAGCGGAACAATCCCTGCTATTAGGAACCCATGTTCCAGTGGGGTCTGGAGATTCAGGCCCAGAACAGAGCACAGGAGCTTCTGAGGCCCCAGCCCCCCTCCTTTCTGAAGCCTCTGACAGTCTGGGTGTACAGGTGAGGAGGAGCCTCAGGAATTTGGGAGTCCCATCCATCTGACTCTCACTCTGGACCTTATCACGAAACTTTGACCCGGGACCGAGCTCAGCTTTCCAGTCCCTCCAACCCTCCTTGCTGTGGTCTTTGCCTCACAGACTATTAGGGCTGGAAACGGACCTCAGGAGTGGGCCCGTGGAGATGGAGATGGTCAGGCCCAGGCAGGGCAAGCTGTCTGCCCAGGTCAGTCAAAAGTGACCAAGCGAGGACAAGAACTCAGGTCTCCCAACCACCCAGCCGGGGCCCCTGCTGGTGCCCAGCACCACCTCCATCCTCCTCCAGCCCTGACCCAGGCGGGTCCACCCCATCATGGGAAACGGGAGAATGTGGAGCAGGACTGCTCTGGGTCTGAGAGGAGTGAGAAGTGGAAATGGAGTCTTGCTTCTCTCCTTTTTCCCTTCTGGGGTCTCCCAACAGTTCTCCCATTTCACTCATGTGCTAGGGAGGAAGGTGTTCTCAGAAACTGGGAAGAAGGATTCCTTGTTTTATAATCACAGCTTGGGTGGTGATGGACCTGGACATGATGGAGGGGTGGGAGGCTCAGGGGGACATCCCCACACAGGCCCAGCAGAGGGCCTGGTCTCCTAGGACACGGCCATCCTACCCATCTTCCCACTTTGCTGGCCTCTGCCCTGTAGGTAGCAGCTCGGAAGCTTCTGAGGCCTCAGCATCCCTCCTTTCTGAAAGGGAAGTGAGGTCCACGCCCAGGGCAGGCAGAGCCCAGCTGCCCCCATGAATTTTAGCCTAAGGAATTCAGCCAGACCCAGGCTCCTGTCCATGTTCCCTCCCCTGGAGCTGGGAGGCTTGGGGCAGGGTCCAGGGAGCGGGGAGCTCCCACAAGGGCAGGGCCTGTCTCAGAGAGATAGGCATCTCTCAGGCCCAGGAGTATGGCCCTTCTCGTGACTGTGGCCACAGGGATGGCAGGTCCTGAAGGTCAAGGAGACTCACAGGACTAACTGTCCGCAGGCTCCCTGGGCCACAGCACCACAGCAGGCGGGCCTGCTGGGAAGGGCCCCTCAGAGAGCATTGCTTGTGGGAGCCAGCACCAGGGCAGGCGGCTGTGGGGACAACCCTGGGCTACCTCCCAAGGGAGAGCACTAAGGTGGCCAAGGCATGCCAGCCCCTTGTGATGGTCTCCTTCTGACAGTGTCTGAAGGTCCCCCATAGGTGCACCCCACCCCTCTCCCTTCCTTTCCTTACCCTCCTTTCCCCTCCATCTGTCTCTCTTATCCACTTCTCCCTTCCCTTTTCTCATTCCAGGAAGCCCTCTCCTAAGAAGCCTGGCCCCTGGCCTGTGCTCCTAATCGCCCCCTTAGCCCAGCAGGGCAGGCAGAGGGAGGAAGAAAGAGTGCTGTCCCCCCACAGTGGGGGGACATTTAGGTGTTTGACTCAGTCTGGAGCCACTTGGGATGGGGAGGGGGTCTGCTTCCCCAGTGTCTCTTGGCTCCTAGTGAGGAGCAGAACAAGGAAAGACAGTGAGAACCGAGTGGCCTGGGGCATCCTAACCACATCAGTGGAAAGAGCTTGGCTTTCTCCCATTCTTCTCTCCTTGCTACCAAGTCAGGCTTCCTTCTGTCTTGCTTGCCTCTTCCAGGAAGCTTTCCCTGACTGCCCTTCCAAGCCTACCTGTGCCCCCAGGGACTGGATGGCTGGGTCTCCTTCCTCCATTCCCCAAGCCCAGGATGGTGCTGCCCCCAGGAGGCTGACTCTCCCACCCGCCTCTGCTGTGGGCTCCGCTGCCAGAGCCACCAGTAACAGAGAAGACCTTTAGGTATGAAGCCTCTGGTCAGCCTCCATTCCAGTCTGGCCCATGTGTGAGCACCAGAAAGCTCTGGGCTACTGACTCTGGGCCCGCTTGGGCCCTGCTCCCCTCGGCAGACTCGGGTGGGCTGGCCAGGGGCTCTGTTCTCTGGCTCATGGCCCCAGTGTAGGATTCCTCTCCCACGCCTTCCTTCTGCTCACTGTTAGCCAAGGGCTACTTCAGGAAGGTCCTGCTCCCTGTTGACTTGGCCAAGAGGCCAGGAGGAAACCCAAAGGGGTCTCATCTTCAAGAGAAAAAAGGGATGATGACGGCACACTTGTCCGAGGGGGAGGGTGCCTTCACGGCAACTGCAGCCAGTCCCTCCCGTGACACTTAGGGAAACACTTGTTCAGTACAAAAGAAGTGAGTGATGAATGATTTATTAGGAGGGGAAAACCCAAGTGGAATGTCTCCCTTCCTCCCCGCTCCCTCTCCCACCTATGTAAGCTGGCCCATCCTTTCTATGGCCCCCAAATGCTAGGAAGTAGGGGGAGGAGAGGGGGCCTGGGGGTGACTGGAGGGATGAGCCATTGCTGCTCCTAGTTCGGTCCTCTCTCCAGGCCCTGGGCCTGTGAGATACAACATGAGGATGGTCATAGGGAAGAGGAAACCTCTCTGAGGGAGGCAGTGTGTAAGACATCCTTGTAAATAACTCCCCGAGTTACCAGGCCAGCCACATTTCCACTAGCCTGCTCACTTTCCTGCTAAGGAGAACACAAAATTACAAAGTAAATGAAATCCTATAGGAAAATGATATCTCCCTTAAGGGCAGCTGGGTGAGTAGCTATTTTCATGGGTACATTATATCACGTTGAAGGAATTGCCTATCCCAGCAGGAGAAAGAGAGAAATATCTTGGCTAAGATCATCCTGCTGGCCAGGAGAGCCGTGCCCTGCAGGGACCAAGGACTCAAAGTGGATGAGAAAATTCAGGGCCAGGGCTGGATGATGCCATGACACTGAGGAGGTTTCCCTCTGACATGGCCTGGGCTGTGGGTTCTGCCAGGCTGAGCACTGGTAGCTGTGACCAGAGCAGGGCACACGGGGCAAGGCCTCTCCTGGCAGTGCCAGGCAGCTGGGAAGAAGAGGGTCTACTTGGATGGGAGATGTGCAGCTGTTTTGGCCAGGCACCTACTAACCACATCATGGCGGAAGGGACCTTGGAGAGCAATGGTCAACAGGCCTGGAGACAACAGGGCTTTGGCAGAAGACGCAGGCTGAGACCACGTGGGCACCCACTGCTAGCCCCAACAATCCAGCCCAAGAAGAGGTGACGAGTGAGAAGAGAGAAGCTCCACCTATCTCCCACCCCAGCAATGGTTTGGTCTACGAGCACAGGAAAGATGGTGGCCATGAGAACATACAAAGCAAGAAACGGGCTTGGACGGAGTGTGCTAATGAGGAGGAAGTGAAGCCAGGACTGCTTGGAGAGGGCCGGAAGAGAGCTGGGGGAGGCAGGCTTGGGCCAGGCGCCCTCCCACCCAATAGGAACAATAGCTTAGAAGGCACTAACAGCAGAATCAGCTGAGGAGGGCAGGGGTGGTGGTGCCTTGTTTCCTCATGTCTAGGACTCATGGGGCCTCATTGGACCCAATCTCATTGCCTTTGTTGACGCAGAATGGCCGGTAGTGAGACTGTGGGGGAAACGAGAGTGGTTAGGGAGGGCAGATGGCGGCCAGCCCACCAGCCCCACCCACCCTACCCTATCCTCCCCCCAGGAGGCAGCAGTGGTCTGAACCCCAGCAATTCCCAGGGCCTTGTGGTCCAACCTGCAAGGTCTAGCTACCCTGTGATCAAGAGCTGGTTCCTGTTTGTTATTAGAATTCCAGGTTAAAATCCTAATTAGAGTTCATCCTGGTCAATGGGTTGGTTAGCTTGAACCTTTAGTCCCCCATCAGACTTTCTCTCCATGGCCCAGGAAGGACCTCCAAGCACCACCATGTTCTTGTGGGCTGCCGTCCAGTCAGCCCCCCACCTCATGGCGACCCCATGCACAATGGAATGAAATGCTGCCCGGTCCTGTGCTATCCCAATGATTGGTTGCAGATCAGACCATTGTGATCCATAGGGTTTCCACTGTCGGGTTTTTCAGAAGTAGATCACCAAGCCTTTCTTCCTAGTCCATCTGAGCCTGGAAGCTCCACTGAAACCTGTTCAGCCTCATAGCAACACACAAGCCTCCACTGACGGATGGCTGGTAACCGTGCATCAGGTGCATTGGCCAGGAATTGAACCTGGATCTCCTGTTTGGAAGGCAAGAGTTCTACCACTGAACCACCACTGCCCTTACAGCTACCATTTATTTATATAGTGCTTCATACTCTACAAAACTATACAGCTCCGTTCTGAGTGTTTTGTATGTAAGGACTTGTTTAATTTTTATGGCTACCCAACGAAGTAGGCTACTATTATCATACTCATTTTATAGTTGAGCAAACCAAGGCACAAAAACCCATTGCCACTGAGTTGATTTCGACTCATAGCAACCTTATAGGACAGAGTAGAACTGCCCCATAGGGTTTCCAAAGAGCAAATGGTGGATTCAACTGCCGACCTTTTGGTTAACAGCCGAGCTCTAAACCACTGTGCCACCAGTGCTCTACTACAGAGAGGCTAATAACTTGGCCAAGGTCACCCAGCCAGTAAGGAAAAGAGTCAGGATTCAAGCCCCTGCAGCCTGGCTCCAGAGTCCACACACCCCACATCTCTGCATCACTTCTTGAGTCTCCAGGGCTTCTGCTCTCTCTGCATAATTGTCCCCGACACAGGGAGTACAGAGAAGGCAAACCCCAGCCCAGCCCAACACAGACCCTGGACCCCTCACTTCTCTCATCCTGCCCCCTCATCAGTATTCACCCAGTGTCTCCCGGGACAGAGCCCAGAAACAAAGTCCCCAGCCAGCTCTGTGTATTACATCTCGCACATAACTTCACAAAATCAGTGTGTCCTCGCTTCCCAATCACTTCATCAGAGCTCTGCAAAATTCACCCTCCAGACTGAACTGCAAGAGCAAATCTGAGCTGCTACTTGTGCATGCGAGCACCCTCGGTCCCTAGAGGGTCTTGGGAAGTAGATCTGCCCCCAAGCTGGGTCAAAGAGACTGAGCCCTCCTCCCACCGCCATGCCCCACTGAGACACCATTGCCACTCCCACCCAGCAGACAGGCCTGCCAGGGAACTTAAGTCTGCCACTCAACTCTTCACCTAAGCCTGGTTCCAGAGCAGGACTCAGGGGTCTGTACAATGCTGGGGCTGAGAGTCCTTAGCTCAGACCTTGGTTTACCCAACGAATGAGTAAATGAATGAAGAAACTGAGACCCAGTGAGGGTAAAGGACAAAGCCAAAGTCACACAGCTACTCAATGGCAAAGCAGAGCCTGGGACCAGGTCTCCTGACCCCCAGGTACCAGCCTGGACCTCAAAGCAGTCAATAAGGCAGTTAACAAACCTGGCAATAGCTGAGGCCTTTCTTTCAGGAAAGCTGGGTCAATAATACGGATTGCAGGTAGGTGAGTGGTGCCATCTTATTAATAGCCCAGGGTGGCGGGTGGGCAGGTACAGAGCCCCACAGCATCCGGGCAGGGCCCTACCCCTCCCCTGCCTCAGGGTCACAGCACTTGAGAGTTAGTTAGAAGGGCTGCTGATTATCCAGGCCATCTAACTCATGTTACAGATGGTGAAACTGAGGCAAAGAGGAAGAATAACTAGCACAAGGTCATACAGCAAGTTGGCAAGAGGGCTGGGAGCAGCACCCAGGCATCTGACTCCCTGGCTGGCCCTCTCTGCACACTAGCACCCTGCCTCCATCCTCCCAGCGCTGGGTGCTAGCCGGGGACTACAGAGTCCTGCCGTGCCACAGGTCTCAAGGTCGCGATGAGCCTTCTCTGCTGGGACCCAGGCTCTGGGAGGGTGTATGTGGTAAGAGGGGAATGACCAAGTCGAGGAACAAAAATTTTTTTTTTCTCCCCATATCTGCTTTTTGCAGTCCTGCTGTTGCAATGCCCCTGGGCACAGCTCTAAATTACACATGATCACTTAGCTCCCATAGGCTGCAAATTAAAGATGCTCTCCAATTAACCAGCCCAGCCACTCTTTGTGGCCCAGAGCTAGTCACCTCCCCATGCTCGGGCCTCCACATGCAAAGACAGCAGGAAGCAGGTGCTCTCCGCCCAGCAGGAGCCCGGCTGCCACTCCATCCCAGGGCAGCTAGCTGGCTCCCTCATCAGGGCCTGGTGTGAGCCTTCAGGAGAGATGCACAGCATGTGAGGGACAGTCCCTGATCACTGAAATCTCAGACAGGGGTCAGGTATGGCAGATCTAAAAGGGATTAACCAAAACCAAACCAGTTGTCACTGAGTCAAGTCTGACTCATGTGACCCCATGTGTGTCAGAGTAGCAGTATGCTCCATAGGGTTTTCAATGGCTATGACCTTTCAGAAGTAGATCACCAAGCCTTTCTTCCAAGATGCCTCTGCGTGGACTTAAACCCCCAACCTTTTGGTTAGCAGCCAAGTGTGTTAACAGTTTGTACCTCCAGGGACTCCCAAACCAGTCAAGTTGACTTCTACTCATGGTGACTCAAAGAGGATCCAAAATCATCTAATCTCAGCATCTGAGATCCCACAGCCAGCTGGTGGTCCTGACCCTGACCCACCCCAGGCCCCAGAGCCAGCAGGTAGCCTAGACCCCAAGGCCACACTTTCCTGTTGTCTGCTCTTCTGATGCCCTGGCTTTGGGTCATTAGACAGCAGAGCCTAACTATCACTATTCCTAACTCTCCAGCCTCCCTTCCCCATGCTATCATCCCCATAACCTCTATGCTGAGAGCTAGAGAACTGCCCCCAAGGTGAGACCCATCTCTTGGATGCCTGGCCCCTGGACTCAGCATTTTACAGTCCCAGAGTGGGCAGGGACCAAGCAGCCATTCAAATAAGCCTAGGTGCTCAACAACCATTTGCCAAATAAAAAGCCAGCGCCACCTACTTTATAGATTAGAAAACTGAGGCCCAGGAAGTATATGCTTACACCAGATCCCCCCGACCATTAGCCCTGGGTCTCTCCTACCCTTTGCTGTATGCAGGTATTCAGGCCACTGCTGCCTCCTTCCCCCACCCCATGGCCCAAAGAAGTAGCCATCCTCCCAGGGACCCTGGGAAGTGATGGCCAGTTACCCTTTGAGAGCCCCAGTCTGTGCCCAGGTCTCTGGATGTGCCTGTGTCTGGGCAGCTCTCCCGCGTCCCCTCACTCACCAGCAAAGCCTGCTTGCTGGATTTCCAAGTCTGCGGCTGAGCCTTGGGGCTCTGGCTCCGCATGAGGGAGGGATAGCCTGGGGAGACAAGAGGTGCCAGTAGACCAGGTCCCAAGGCTGGGACAGCACAGCTTCCTTCTCCCAAGTGACCACCAAGCTTTGTCCAGTCCGTTACCAAATGCAGCCACCCTGAAGAGGCGTGCAGCAGCTTGGGTGACACAAATGAACTCCTGGAGAGCTGGCCAAAGGGCGGAAGCACCCAGCAGACAGAAGGAGGAGGAGCAGGCCAGGAGGGTGGGGCCAGGCAGCAGGGAGTGGTGCCCCAAATCCAAGTCAGGATCACACTGGCTCTGCAGGGGCTTCCACCCACCCACCCTGAAGACTCACACCATGATTCCTCCCCTATCTGGCACCCAGGAAAGCTACAACCTGCCAGGACTTCCTGCCTGGGGGAGCTCATTCTCCCCTAATGCCCCTGTGCTGGGGGTACAATGCTTCCCATTTATGGAGTCCTACTTGTGCTAAGCACTGTGTTGGGGACATTGCTCTCCTCACCCAGCCCTCACCCCACTTCTGTGTACTCAGCAGTTTGCTCAGCTACACAGCCAGTAAGCAGCAGTTAGGATTTGAACCAGGTTTTGCCCGACCCCAAAACCCATATTCATGTTCTTACACAAGGCTCTGCTGCCTCTCCCATTTCACTAGCAGGAAACAGGGGCCCAGAGAGGGGCAGTAATTTGCCCAGGTGGCTGCAGCCCAGGGTGGGAAAGCAAGCAAGAGAGGGCCAGGCACTCTCTGGTTTGATCTCGAAGGTGCTGGCACCCCCTCTCTGCCCCTCCCCTCTGTGCAGGGGACGTGGCAAGGAGCTCCACCCCTGCTGGATTTGTGAAAGGGAAGTGCAGTTACCAGCCACAGGGATACAGGAAGAGGCTGGACGCTGAGGAGCTCAAGACATAGAAAGGTCTGTTCCTGGCTGGGGCAGCCTGGACAGCCCAGGAGACGGACCTCTGCCCAGCGCGGCCAAGGTCCGCCCCTGGGAAGGCCCTGCCATCAGACCCCCTGAAGTACTGCCAACACCAGCTCCGCAGGCTCACCCACCCTGCGGATGGCACTTAGCAAGGAGGCAGGAGAGGAGACAGAGCAGACGACTTGGTCTCTGCCTCCATCTGGGGGTGGGGCAGCCTTGGAAAGAGAAGGCTCCATGGGCCCTGAGTGGGAGGTGAGAGAGGGGAATGCAGACCTCACGTCTCAGTTCCCAGAAAGAAAGCCCTATACCAGGCATGAAGAGAGGAGGATGAGGATGGGGATGGGGATGGGGCAGGGGTGTGGTCCAAGAGACCCACCCTGTGCAGCAGGCAGAAGTCAAGGAGTGGGGAGCTAGGGGTGGCAGGTGATGGCATGCACCCCTCTGCAGGGAGCTCTGGGGAGGAGGGACCAGGACACCCTAGAAGTGGCAGAGAGCCCCCACAGGATGTCCCACCTGCCCACTGTGGGAGACAAAAGGGGAGGGATGGAAAACAGGCAGGTACCAGGACTGTTTTTAAACAGACAACTGCCGTCCCACAGTCTGGAAAACTCTGAAGTCGCCTGTCCCAAGGTGGCGAACTGATCAGGGGTTTTTCCAGTGCCTGCTTGGAGAGACAGAGGCATTAGCAGCACAGTCTGGCCCCAGCAGGGCCGGAAAGGAGCAGGCAGCGCAGGGCCTTCATCGGGGCTACCCGGAACGTGTGAGGGTGGGTCAGTCTCTGCCGGTGGGGCTCTCCTTGCACACAGGCCACCCCTGCCCAGGACCCCCTCTCCCAAAGCCATTGCCAGCTAAGGAATGTGATCATGGGGTTCCCGTGCTACTCCCCCAAGGTAGAGTGTATGGAGAAGGGGCTCTCCCAGGGTGAGGCCACAGGCAGGAGAAGGTCTATGCAGACTTGTGGGGAGATATTTGGGAGCATAAAAGCTCCAAATTCCATGAGAAGATGGCCATCTGCCGTGCTGGGTGGCCTTTGCTCCAGACTTGACCAAAGAGAAAGGAGGATTCTTCTGGAAGCCAGAGGACAAGGCAAGCCCCAGGGCTCCCCAGGCCTGGCTCAGGGCTAGGACATCCTTGGGTCCTTCAGGCTGGGACCCTCCAGTAATAGTCGTTCTTCACCTTGCTCATAGCACCAAGAGTCCCTGCCCAGGGCATTGGCTGGGACCCCAGCCTGGAAGGGACAGCTAGGTGCTAAAGCCACCTGCAGAGGCCACTGCTTGGGGGTGTGTCTGCCCTGCACAGGCCCTCTCCCTCACCCTGTTCTCCTCCCTGCCCCTCCTCCACTGCTTAACCTTCCAGACCAAATGCCCTGGGACCAGAAGAGAGATGGGGCTCCTTCCAGCACAACACACTCACCCTGTCCCTAGGACCTTTTGGGATAGACATGAGGCCCTGGCCCCACCGTAAACTGGGGTCTAGGTCAAGCCTGCCCACTCAGGATGACCCCAAGGGACAAGAGGCATTGGCCACACAGCCTCATCAAAGAGCTCAGAGGAGCAAGGCAGCTAAGGGGTAGGGTATAAGAAAAGGAGACTTAAGTTTGGGGGGCCTTAGAGGTCATCTAGTCCAGCCTTTCTCAAAGAGGTTTCTGCAGGACTCTGTGGGGTGTTGGTGGGTGTTACACAGCAAGAGGGTTCTAGAATCACTGGGCAGAACAAAGTTAGCTAGGCTGTCTGCAGTAGAAGACTCAGTATGTAAACCCAACAGAGCACACTGAGGGTCTCCAGGACTGGGAGTGTGAGGGTGCCGTGTTTCCTCACCCCATGGACCTTTGAGGTCTTTCATTGTAGAGCATCTTTAGGAATTAGTGTGTGGTGATCAGGCCTTGAGAAAGGCTGGTCTGGTCCAATCCATCCACCCTTGCCCTCGTTTCACAGCACAGACGGTAGTGGCCTGGGGAGGGACCATGACTTCCCAACGTCCCGCCAAGCCGCAACCAGACTCCAGCCTCCCACCTCCAGGCCAGTGCTCGCTCCTCTACAAAGTGAGAGCCCGGGAGTGGGGAAGCGGGACCACGGCAGGCTTGTGGCATGACGGGGGAGCTGTGAAGGCGCCTTCCACTGGGGAGGAAGGCAGGGCCGGGGCAAGGTGAGGGGCAGCAGAGGGCCGGGTCTCACCTTTCAGGGAGAAAGAGGAGGTGCCTTGGACTGCGGGCAGGTCATCAGAGTTCTGGATGGTGGAGTAATCCCAGACCCGGGAGGTATAGTTACCTGGCAGGAAAAGGAAGGGGGTCAGACTGAGGCTGCCTGGCATGGAGGCGGGAGGGCAGGATGTGGTCATTTTGTGACTCTCTCTCCAGCCCCTGCCACATCTCAAGTCCCTAACTGGGCTCTCATCCTCCAGTCATGCCTCCCTCCAATCCTTCCTGCCATCCAAGGTATCTTTCTGTATTTACATTTTGTGATGAAATATAGTCTCCTCAGGTCCCTGCCCTACCTAAAAACCCACTGTCCCCAGAATAAGGCACAAAGTTCTTAGCATGGCCCACAGGCTTTTCATGACCTGCTGTCCCACCCTACCCCTAACACCACCTCCACCTGCCTTCTGGCCTCCCTTCTCCCCTCCTACCCCTAGTCACTCAACAGTCCACCTAGGCTCTTAGCTCCTTAGACACACCAGGCTCTCTTCCCTCAGGCTTTTTGCACAGACAGGGTCCTCTGCCTCGAATAGTCCACCTGCTCCCCACTCGTAGAAAATCCATTCAGGGATCAGCTTACATGTAATTTCCCCCAAGCCCGTATGTGCCTCAGTCCCATACCCCACATCACCCTTGGGGTGACCCTTATCTGTTTCCCTCTGGGTCATGATTCAGGCTGACTTGTCTGTCTCCCCACTGGGCTGTGGGCTCCATGGGGGTAGGAAATATGCCCTTCTGGCCCAGCAACACAGCCCGTTGCTGGCACAGAGCCTGGTTCCTCAAAGGTGCTCATTGTACGGTTGATGGATGAACGAATGAACAAACGAACAAATAAATACAAGCACATCCTAAGCATTGGGGACAGAGGCAGCTGATTTAACTCCTGACACTCTGTTTGCTAAGTTGAATAGGCTGACAAATGTCTGTTTGCAGAGTGGGTCCCACAGGCTAGAGGAAAAGGAGGATGTGGGGGAACCACAGGGGGTGCTGAGAGGGCATTAGAGAGCAGCTTTGGCGCCCCCATGGACAATGGAGGCATGAGCACACCCCTCCGGTCCCCCCTCCTCAGCAGGCTGGGGGGCTGCCCGCAGTGTCACCAGTCTCCCTTAGTAATGCTTACACCACAGGAGTGGCCCCCCCAGCCTGGGGGTCCTCTCCCACAGCTGCTTGCAGCTAAGTGGTCAGTGATGGCTAGGCCTGGCCTGCTCCCTCGTGAAACCCTCCCCAGGGGTCTCAGAAAGGTTCTGCAGCAAGGCCCTCAAGAGCACACTCATGCAAGGGTCCGAGAGGCCACATGCCTTGCCCTTTAATTTACTCATTCGGTTATTCTTTCTCTCTTTCAGTGAATGTTTCCTGAGCATCCCCTCCTGCTCCCCTCTGGGCACAGGACAGACAGTCCCTGCCCTCATGGGGCTCAAGTCTATTGCATATGCAGAGAAAGGGGTGGTGGTTGGTAACAGCTGACCACCAACCTGGGCATAGAAGCCTGGGCATTGCCCTGGCCACCACACACTCCTGCCCCGCCGGTCTTACTGCAGGGGTCACCCACTCTCCTCCTCACCTCTGCTGACCGGCCCAGGTCTGTTGGGGGAACTCCTGCCTATGGCAGGCATGCACCCCGGGGCCCCTGGGATGGCATGGGCCTCCAGAACCTGGGCTCACTGAGTCCAGGGCCTGGCTTTGGACAGAAAGTTTCCCTCAGTGCATTGGGCAGCTCTCCCATTGCAAACATACTGCCTGGATTCCCAGAGATGGCCTACTGCATAACATGCCCTCCTTTCCATTCACAGCTCAACTACTTTGCCTGAAACACTGTACAACTTTTCACATCAGTAAAGATACTCTGTGGGCCCTGGAGCCCTGATACTTGCTGGGAGGTGTCTCACACCCAACCCCAGGGTGGCAGCTCAGCCCCAGGTTCCCCTGACTCATCCTTCAGGGGTAAGAAGATCACATGGACTTGGGGAATGTCCAGTGTTGCCAAGGCTCCCAAGCTGCTTCTCCTCCAGCCTAATGATGTCACACATACACACACACGCACACACACACACACACACTGCTTTAAGCTCAGGATGCCCTTCCCCACCCCTCTCTGGGACCCCGCTCCCCCCACATCCCCACATTCATCTCACATTGGGTCCCAGCCTCCCTGTCCCAGGGCCCAGACCTGGCCCCCTCCCCAATCCCACCCCCTGCTGCAGAGCCCACACAGGGGCCCTGCCCACTCTTCAGCTGAGCCCCCTCCTACCTTTGGTGCCATAGAGATTGTTGAAATTCTTCTGATTGGTCTCCTTGGAGAGGCGGTTGGGGGACGATGGCTGGTACGATGTCCGGGCTCCACCTGTGAGGCAGACGAGAGGGGTCTGTCATTGCAGAAAGGGGGGTGTGTCTCAACTCAGGGGGCTGAGGGGTGATATGCAGGACTTCTTGCCCCCAAACAGCTCCCCAACTGCCTGTCACGGGGCCTGGATTCCGCCACTATGAGAGGTCCTCTAGGTCTAGGGTAAAGCGATCACTTAATTTTTCATCCAAATGGGACACCTATAAGTGTGAAACAGGTGCTGTTAACAATTACACCAAGAGCAACAGGTGTGAACCTGGTGGTCCTGGATAACTATGACATATGGCCACACTACCTAGGGGCTTGTGTGGTCATCTGAAGGCCGGTAAGCCACCACCTCTCTCCTGAGCCAGTGATCCTTGGTGGGGAAAGCCCACCACTGTCTGGGGAAAGTCCATGTGTGAATGAGACCCAGGAGCCTGGGGTGGGAGCTCCTGAGGAAGGAAAGGCCAATGGCAACAACTAGAGACAGAGACATGGGCCCCTGGCCAAGTGAGGGTGACTCATCTGGAGGTGGTCTGATGGGCAGTGCCCACTAGCATCCCCCAGGTGCCAAGATGGCAGCTGTTGCTCACACCCATGGCACAGAGCCTTACACAGCAGAGTGCTTTCCCTCCCTCACCCATTTGGGCTCTCCCAACAATCTTGTGATGAAGGCAGAGGGGTATCCATACTCCCACGTTACAGATGAGGAAATGAGTTCCCACGTGCTTCCGGGTCCTTCTACCAGCTCTTCCCTCCCTGCCTAACCCTCAGAACAAACAGCCTTGGTTCTAGCCCTCCTGGCCCCGGCACCTGCTGGTCCCTCCTCTAAACCTTTGGGACTGAAGTTCCTCTGACCCCAATGCCTCTGTCCACCACAGCCCTGCATCCACCACCATCACAGCCCTGTGTCCACCACAGACCTCTGTCCACCACAGTCCTGTATCGACTATCACAGCCTTGTATCCACCATAGCCCTGTGTCTTACTACAGCTTTGTGTCCATCACAGCACTGTGTCCACTATCACAGCCCTGTGTCCACCATCACAGCCCCGTGTCCACCACAACCACATCCTCCTTACTGAGCACATTGTCTCTCTTTCAAGAAGCCTCACTGCCCAATCCCAAAACTCCCAGACTCAGGCAGTTGGCGGCCTAATTTCCCTGGTCTCCTTGATGACTCCGACTCTCTTGGCCCTTCCCTTGCCTCTACACAGAGCCTGGGAGCTTCCAGAGGGCAGATTTCCTCTTCTTTCTTGTCCTCAGTACCCACAGTGCTGGGGTGGGGGCACCAGATGAACCTGTTTTCTTCCACCTACGAATGTCACAGACTGACACAGAGACAAAGCTGGAAGGTCTACTAGCATTTGAGTCAAACCTCTCTCTTCTCAGATGGGGCTACTGAGGCTGGGGGGGAGGGGGGGAGGGGATGGCCAGCCCAAGGCTATCTAGACCCTTGGCCTCTGAGGTTACATCTTGGCCTTGCTTGTTCCACCTCCACCCCCTGTGCTGTCTGCCCTCCCCGCCTCCCACCCTGCAATGGAGCTCACACTGGCCCTCAGTCCCATACAGAGTAGGAGGGCCAAGCAGGAGCTAGTCAGGGCACTGGACACCACCTCAGGGGATGGTCCTGGGAGGAGGAGCGGGAGACAGAGGGACCAGGCCAGGGCGAGGCAAGAGGAAAGCCTCTGAGGAGAGGGATAAGGGGGTGGCTCCTTAGTGCCGGTCACCTCTCACAGAACTAGGTCCACAGGAAGTGGGCAGGACTGGTTGGCTGGGGCCTGGCCCACACCAGGAATGTGGGGAAGGGGGCACACAGCTGCTTCCCCAGACCTCCACGAGAAGCCCAGGGGTTGCTTTCAAATTGGGTGGTGTGGCAGGAAGTTCTTCTCAGCTGAGCTCATCTCTCCAAATCTCTTCCCCCTGTGCATGTGTGTGTGTTGGGGTGTGTGAATTACTGCTTAGGGCCTCGGTGCCCCCTCCCCAGCCCCAGTGCCTTCCCCTGTGCCCGCCCCCCAATATCCCACCCTCCTCCTACTCCACATGACCGTGCCTGCGCACACCCCCCTTATGTACAGGCATTGTTGTGGTTTGTTGCTGGTGCCAAAGAATGTGAAAGGCTACCACAGGGCAAGAACGGGCAGGCACTGGCTTATACCCCTCCAGGACGTCACCACCGCAGGCTGGGACTCTCTGGGGCCTGGTGAGGGAGGGCCAGAACTAGGAGAGAACCGTGAGGAGATCTGGGAGAGGAGATGTCACCCTCCTGCCCTTGAGGAGAAACAGAATGGGTTTAGGGAGATAACCTTCCCAAAGGGGCTCAAGACCCACAAAAAAATAAGTGGCAGCCAAATATAGCTCTGGCCATGGGCAGACGGAAGCCGATGAGACCAGCAGCAAGGAGACCCCCTCAAGGAAAAAGAAGCAAGGTGCGGGATGGAGGCAAAGGTATGGGAGGGAGCTGCCTGCCTCCCAGGGAGGGAAGACTTTGAGGAGCAGGGTGAGCACATAATTCATCATCTAAACCACACACATCTGAGAGTGAAAGGAGGCGCTATCAATAATTATACCTGGACAAGAGGTATTTGTCAGGACTGACCCAGCTCACCTCAGCGAGGTGGAGCCTGGTTGAGAGTTACTCAATGGATGATAGGGCTCTTCAGCAGCAAGAGGGCACCAGGCCTGGGGCAAGGACAATCCCCTTACCCTTAGGCGTGAGGTACATGGAGTATCTCTTCATGGTGTCTGGTGCACTCCACTCACTTGAGTAACTGTTTGTGTAGTTGTTCATGTAACGATGGTCACCACCTGGGAAGGACAGGGGTCAGGTCAGCAGAAGGAGTAGCGGGGAGGCATCCCTTGGCTCGGCTGAGTCAGCCCATGACCCCAGGAGAACCAAGGTTTCCCAGCCTTGGGGAATGTAATGTTCTTCCCAACATCCTCTCTGCTCCTGATCTCTTGGGGGTGGGGGGGGGAGGGTCTGCAGTGAGCCAGTCACCCTCTCTTGGACTGATCCCTTGAGAATAAAAGCGTGTGCACAGCACGCTGCAGTTTACAAGGTGCTGCTAATATCCATTTCCTCATTTCATTTGTACGTCAACCCCTGGGCAGGGATGAAGATCCTCATGTGACAGATGAGGACATTGAGGCCCAGGACGTGAGGGAAGCAACTTGCCCAATGTCACATGGCTAACAAGGGCAGAGTTGGGGTTTGAGCCCTGGTCCCCCGCTTCCAGCTCAGTCACAGCCACTGCTGGCAGCCCAAGGTGTGGGAACACAGTCCTAGCTTTGGCTTCCATGACACAGGGATCCAGCCAGCTGACCCGAGCCCAACAGAAGCTCAGATCTTGTGGTCCGCAGGCGGGAACCATGAAAGGGAGGGCCCACTGACTCCTCCCTCCCTGACATCCCACTGCACCCATCAGCAGACTCCTGATACCCCCAGCCAGCTCTCCACCCCATTCCTTTCTCTTGCTACTTTCTCATCTTCCACTTTCCCTCTGTTCTCCCCTCTTATCTCTCCTAGGAAAGAGGAGGAGTGAATGGCTCAGACTCTCATCATCTTCATCGCCTGTGCCTGGCAGGGGGCCTGGCACACAGCAGGCATTCAATGAACAACTGAACGTCCCTCTCCCTCTACCCGCTGAGCCTAGAATGAAGGTGTCCTGGTGTCTCTTAGCCCCTGGACCTTGGAGGCTGGGAATGTGTCCCTGGTCTGGTGGGAGGGCCAGCATTAGGGAGAGGAGGATGGTCACTAGGAGGTGTGACTCACTGTCTGCCCATCCCCAGCCTCCCACATCCAGACACACTCCCAACACCAAGGCAGCAGTGACAACCTCACAAAGGAGCCTCACAGCAGCCCCAGGCACAGGGGCAGGGCCGCTGACATCAGCAGTGCCCTTCCCTGCTTCTGGCCACCGCCTCACTGCACATCTTGTACAGGGCTGCAGGGCCACACCTGCCCAGAGGCCATGGCAGCACAATCGTGACCTAGAAATGGGGCAGAGGGGGGCCAGGAGGCTGGACTGTCCCTGCAAGGCTCACAGGCCACCCCACCCCACCCCAGCCAGGGCCATCCTCATAAGTCAGGCCCAGATCTCACCTGAGGGGCTCCCCTGCCAGATGTGTACCTCAGGGACGATAAACATCACACTACCCAACCCCACCACCATCAACAGCTTCTCACATGAGAAGGCACAGAAGGCTGAATTACCTATTGCCATTGAGTCAATTCCAACTCATAGCGACCCTATAGGACAGAGTAGAACTGCCCCATAGGGTTTCCAAGGAGCAGCTGGTGGCTTCAAACTGCCAACCTTTTGGTTAGCAGCCTGAGTTCTTAACGACTGCACCACCAGAGCTCCAAGGGCTGAACAGCAGAGTGTTAAACCAACAGCATCACCTACTTAGCTGTGTGACCTTTGAAAAGATCCTTATCTGAGCCTCAGCCTTCTCATCTGTAAAATGTAATACATCCCATAGGTGTTGTCAGGGGAAATAAGATAATGTAAATGAAGAGCTCAGAGCAACACCCAGCACACAGGAGCACTTAATCAGCATCAGCATCACCATTAGTATCATCGCCATTGTCACTGGGTGGCTTCCAGGATCCAAGTGCTGGTGGAAACCAAATGATTGTCTTGCTAGGAAATGGTTCATCTGTCCTTAGGTGTATTCGAATGGGGGGCTACATTTCACAGGGTCACTGTGTAATATCATCATCACCATGACACAGACATATTCTCCTGAACCCCGACCCTTCTGCACACTATTATCCCCCTCTCCTCCCCAGAATCATGGGCTCCATTTGGAAACTAAAGACAGAGGTCTCTTCCTTTGGGGTGTTCATGGCTAGAAATCATTAACTAGGTAGCATCCTCAAGGGCTGTCAGAGAGCTGTGCAGCAGAGGCCCTGGGTTGGTCCAGGGTCACTGGGTAGGGCCTTGGGGAAAGTTCCCAGACTTCAAGGCCTAAAGAGACTGGGTTGTGACTGGTGGAAAAGGATTTAATAGGGTAGTTTCTCAGGTTTGGAGGCTTTCTATGAGATGACTCAGTCAACCCTGCTGAGGGACAGCATGATTCAGGAGAGAAGCTGACTGCAGGGGCGTTTACGAGTCACAGAGATGTTGTGTCCCACCATCCCCGGCCTGGCCCACCTGGCCGAGTCCAGTCCTGGGTCAGCACTGCTCAGCACAGCCATGATGACCAGCAAGTTCTCCCTCTAAGCACGGGTGCAATCTTAGGTCACATTGATGCAAGTCTCCAAACCCACCAGTCTGGGCTCTGGCCCATACAATCTGCAGCATCCACACAATGCTGGATTTGGCAACAGTCCCTGAATCTTAGATCAAAGCAGCCTTGAGTGGGTTGGTGGGTGGCTGGCTGGATGTCAGCCTGCACCAGGCAGATGGAATTGACTTGGGAGAGAAAGGCTCGTTGCTTTGGGATCTGCCCACAAGAGGGTCCTACCATTTTCCATGTGGTTCTTCTCGATGAAGTTACGGCTCAGGTCTGCCTTGCACATCTTCTCAACATGGCGCATGCACACGTTGAGCAGGTCGTCCTTGAAGTTACCGAGTGACTGTCCCAGGCCCTCCCCCTCCAGCAGAACACGGTAGGTGGGCAGGGGCGGTGGGAGGGAGTAACTGCTCATCAACGCACCAAATTCCTATCAAGAAAGAAAGGAAGCCATTAACTTCCTGGGTCTTTAGGAGCTATGAGGACACTTCTCTGCAAGTGACTCTCACAGGCCAGATGGAAGACTCAGCACTGGGAGCTGGGTTCTAGCTTGTGGTCTGGTATTAACTAGTTCTACTTTTTCTCACTGAGGATTGGGTTCTCCTGGAAAATGAAAGGATTTGCCTAAAAGCCACAAGATGCTCTCTATCATCCCTGATGGTACTAGTATTCATGTGATTCCATGGTTCCTACCCTTAAAACTGGGTACGTCACTCCTTCCACACAGGGGGTTATGACAGTGACACAGCTGTGAAGACTTTGGGAGTGAAAGCACTGAAGAAACGCAAGGAATTACTACTGTGTCCTGGGTCAGTCTTGGTGGTATTTCCACATTTACCTGCCACACCCAACCCTGCCTGTACATCTCTGCACTTCTCATTTCCCTTCCCTCACTGAAGAATTCCTCCTTCAAATCCTAACCAGCCTTGAAGACCCAGTTTAAATTCCACCTCCTCCACAAAGCTGGTTTATGTCATTCCAGCCTGCTGGCACTTCTCTGAGCTTCCACAGACGCTTATCTCCTGAACCATGCACTTTATCATTTAATTACACATTCTTCTATGTTGTTCTCTAATTGTACATGTCTTATCTTCCCAGCTGGATTGCAGCTTGTTGGGGGCCGAAACCATGTCTTGTGCTTCTCTATTCTCCACAGCACCTAATAGAGTTCTGGGCATACAGTAGTACCCAAAGCACTCTAGCAGATGGAAGGATGGATGAATGATTAGACAGACAGACTAGATCAAGGATAACAAATATGCAGCACTCATATCACCACCACCCATATCCAAAGCAGGCATCACTAACCAAATACAGACCTCCTTCCTGCGGAGTCTGGAGTACTGTTAATACCAACATCAGTTGAAGCTGGTACAAGGTGATATTTGTGTGCCATTTTTAGAGTAGGTAGGGAAATGGCTTTGCATGGAAAAAGTAGATGGATAGATGGAATGGAAGAACAAACGGACTGGATGATGGAATGGGATTATGGATGGATGACTTGGATGCATGGATGGATGGGTGGGTGGGTGGATGGATGGATGCGTGGGTGGGTGGATGGACAATGGACAGATGAGGATCTAGGAAAGTGGATGGGAAGACTGAGGGACTGAACAGCAGCAGAGCTGCTTATTACCTGCAGAAAGAGCACTGAGTCACTGATGCTGTGCAGCTGCTCTCTGGTCTGCTTGTCCTCATGCAGCACTTTCGCCCTTTCGTCCAGAGCATCCACAATCACCTTCGCTTGGTCCACAGCATCCTGCTCCCGTTGCTCCAGTGCAGCCCTCACTTCTTCTTTCTGCTTCTCCAGGTCCCGCACTAGGTCCTGGAAGTTCTGCTCCAGGACGGCCTTCTCATTGGTGGTGAAGTTCTGAATTCAGGGTCAGGGAAGGGATGAAGGAGGGCTAAGTACAAAACCTCCCTAGTGGTGTGCGTCTTTAGGTTCCCAAGACAGGGTCAAGGCATTTCCACTGACCCAACCTGGCAAAGCTTGTTTGGCCAAGAATCATCCTCTCACTCAAAGCCACCATTGAGAGATGCCATCTATTGATAAAGATGGCCATTCTTTTTAAAAGCCTACCCTTCCTTACCCACCTGCGGCTCCTTCCCCTTGACGGATTGACATGATCCATCATTTCCACCCTTGCGTGACTTCCCATGGGCCCAGAGGGTCCCCCATGAGTCAGGGTTAAAACTAGTTACCATCAAGTCAATTCCAACTCATAACGACACCATGTGTGTCAGAGCAGAATTGTGTTCCACAGGGTTTTCAATGGCTGCAACGTTTCACAGGAAGATGACCAGACCTTTCTTCCAAGGTGCCTCTAGGTGGGTTCAAACCTCCAACCTTTTAGCTGCTAGCTGTGTTAACTGTTTGCACCACCCAGGGACTCCTATGAGTCAGGGTGTGCTTACTGAAATCTCAACCAGAACCAAACATCATTTAGAAAGCGAATGAAGTGGATGTTTATGCACAAGAGTCAAGGGTCAGTGACTTCAGATTGTGGTTTGCAATTATCGAAACCATGGCAGACTTATGTCCAACCACACTGGCACAAGCATAAGAGAAATGGTATGTATTTGGTGGCTGGGTAGTCTGGTGGGCAGAGTAGACACTGAAGGACTTTGGAGAACAAATTGGAGGGCAGGCCATTCTGAGGTCCTTATTTGCTGGAATGATGTAAAATGAGCATAAGGTGACGGGCAAGACTTAGGAGGGGAGTTGGTGGGAATGCCAAGGGGGTTGGGAGCCCAGAAGAGACAAGTGTAGGATATAAATGTGGGCCTGAGACCTCAAGCGGGAGCCAACGCCCACTTCCTCTGAGGACCAGGCAGGGCAGGTGGGGTGAGGGTGCAGCAGGGGCAAGGTCTGGGGGCTGCTCACCTTGATGCGGTCCTTCTCCTTCTGCCACTTCTCAGCTTCATCCTCCATCTCAATGATCTTGAGCTGCAGCTGCTCCTTCTGCAGTGACAGCTCCGTCTGCAGGGAAAGGTTGGGGATTGGCAAGAGAATGAGAGGGGAGGAGGTGGAAGAGAACAAGAGAATCAGAGAGAGCCCACCCAGTGAGCAAACTCTAAGGCAGGGCTCATCATTCATCCATTCATTCCTTCATTCAGTAGACGTTGATAAAGACTGGGATATGTCAGTCACTGTGCCAGTCACCAAGGACACGTCGACCAGTGAAACATGGTCTCTCCATATCCTCAGGCCTCTAGGGCTAGACATCCCACCCATACCTTTATAAGGACTAAACCTCTGCCTGCCCTTCTACCAACATGAGCAGGAGGGAAGCTTATTTATGGGGTTCTTGCTTCTTTTGATGGACCTCGGGCCACTGGGGAGAGGGAGGAATGCTCCTGCCTCTTTCAAGCTAAGAGGAGGAAGGGGACCTAGCCCAGTTCAGCACAGCCCAGCCCAGGCCAGGGAGTGTCTCATGGCAATAACAGCTTCCAACGTTTCTGAGGCATGACACACGGCCCGTGTTGCACGCAGGAGCTGGGGTTGCCGCCAGCATGGACTCTGTCTGGACAGGCACAGCTATAAACCTGTTTATGGGAAAGTGAATGCATTCAGCAGTTTTGACAAGAGACTTTTATTCAGGGCCCTTGGGGAAGGAGTGAAGCTAGAGAGTGAAGCTCTGAAGGGTAGAAGAGAGAAGAGAAGGAGGGGTTCTAAGGATCTCCACTTAGCAGAGGACGTGGGCTCTTGGGGCCCAGGGATGTATGGAAGAGGAGTGTGCTGGGACTTGAGCTCTCGTATCCATATTTTCCTTCCATTTGGGAAAATGCTCTTCTCTGAAAAGCAGTTACAACAGAGGGAAAAGGGAGGCATGGAGCTAAGGCCAATCAAATTCAGCCAAGCCAAGAGGCACCTCTTTCGTTCTGCTAGGTTCCCCTCTAGGGTGCTCAAAGTACCTTCCAGCTTGGAAGATATGTGGATAATCTACAAGAGACAGGCATGAAGAGCAAGGCACACAAGGAAGTCTTAGATGGCTCAAGGTCTCCCCCAAATACCTTACGTTTTTGAATGTAGAGTCTCATCTCTTTCTCCAGCTATCTACTTGAGGAACCCATGAGAATCTTCAAGATGAGAAGCCACAAGCCACTAGGAATGTGAGCTCTATCAGCAAGGAGTCACAGCAGCTGGGCAAAGAGTTTCACCACACATCACATCTTTGAACACTCCACTAGGCCAAGGGGACACTAATTGGGTACCTGTCACAGACACCCAGGGAGGTGGGCTGGTGGTCCACGGAGTTTCTCTGGCTCTCTTGGAAAAGGTACCCAGAGGGCTGGGGAGCTGGTGGAGAAGGTGGGGAAGGCACAGGACGGGAGTTATGGAGCTCTCCAGACAGAGAGTCTCTGATGCCATGTCCCTCCCCCTCTGCCTACACTCCCAGGCTCTCCAGGCATTTGTCTAGCCAGCAGAAGGTTGGAAATTCCATGACACAGAAAATGTTGTCACCAGAGATAAAAGATGGTTATCATCAGGAGAGGAATTAACAGAAATGGGGATGGGGATTGGCCTGGTCTCTGGAAAAAGGCAGGAGAGAAGTCAGCTGTCAACAGACACCATGGTGGAAGGTGAAGAACAAAGATGCTAAGTGCCCAGTGTGGATGTCAGGAGACTCACCCTCCAACTCTCTGAGGCTGAAGAGCCTCAGAGCCCAGAAGACAAAAGTCAACTGAGCCAGTGGCCCTGAAGGCCTCTGAGAAGGCTGTGCCTCATAGCTGGATCTGAGCTGTGAGGAAGAGACTAAGAGGCTAGACAGTGGGTCTATCCCAGGCAGCTTTCCCATCCCTGGAGAACTCCTGAGCTCCTAGGGAGAGCTAAGGCTTCCTACCCCCTCCAGCTGAGATTTCCTAATGCAGCTCAGGGATGGAGGAACTGGCACTTGGGTTTCTCATCCCCACTTCACCACCCTCAGAACAAAAGTGCATTCTCTCACACTCTCCTGTCTACCTTCACCCCCACCCCCAGGCCCAGGCCCACCCCTGGTAAAGGTCCTAGGCACAGACAGGAGAAGGGCAACCTCTCCACTAAATGAGCAATAGTGGTTCCAGGAGGGGGGTCCCCCCGAGTACAAGACTACCACTACCTACAAGCCAGGTGGCCTTCAGTGAGGGACTTGACTTCTCCCTGTCTCAGTAGCTTCATCTGTTAGGTAGAGGACCTGGATCTGCCTCCCAGGGGCGTTGTGAGGGTAAACTGAGATAGGGAAGTAAAGCTCTTAGAAAGCGCCTGGCACAGGGGATGTGCTGACAGACAATGGTCACTGCCATCATTGTTTGTGGACACCTGCATGGACTAGGGGCCATACTGGATTTCTCTGATCAGTGCTCAGTGGGAGTGAGGGCAGTGTGGCGGGCAGGGCCCAGGTCACAGACAAGCCAGTGGTGAGGAAGGTGTGGTTGTGGCACTGGGGCCCACAGGCAGAGAAGACACTGTCCGAAGGGCTGGAAGATGCAGAATGAAGAGTACATAGAGAGCCTGGGAGGTCAAATGTTAGGCTGAAGACGCAAAATGAAGGCTCAGACCACAGATCATTGAAGACTGGAGGTGGTTGGGGAAAACAGAATAGGGGTAAAAAGAAGGAAATGAGGGCAGCCTAACTACCTGTGGGCGGGAGGTTTGACCAGAGAAGGTGAATGCCGGGGAGCAGAGTGTCTAGAGTGAGCTTCCCACAGGGAGAGTCCTGTTGGCAGCTGTTTGGGGGGATGACTCCAGGATGGAGCCTACAGGTAAAGAAAGGTCTTACGCAGGTAAGCATGGATTTGCTGGACAAAGGGGTGAAAGAAGGTATTAATGAAGGGAATTAAGGGTATTAAAGAGGGTATTAAGAAATGGAAAACCCAATAGGGTTTCAGAACAATGAAGCGGCCAGCCTCCTGGGAGTTCAGGGCGTAAGACAGTTGAAATATGGAAAGAAGAGCAGAGATGTCAGCCAGAGGAGGCGGGAGAGGTGGTTGATCTGGAAACGTGTGAGGGCACTAAGGAAGCCAGACAACAGGGCCTGGGAGGGGGCCTTGCTCCCATAGCATGCCTGCCAAAACCAGACTTGCAGGACACAGCAGAATCTTGGAAGGGATCTTGGACTGGAACCCTGTGCTGCTGAAATGGTCCTCTCTCACCTCTGGGATGTGTCCTACTACCTGTCAGGAAAGAAGGGTCTGGGGTAGGACCTCTGGGGATGTACCCAGCATCTGTTCAGCTCCTGATAAGTTTTCCCTGCTGGCAGGGCTGTACAGAGCTGACATAGGATATAGGAAGCAAGACAGCATGAGAAGTCCCAAAGACGTTAGGTTCTCCTGCAACACAAGGAGGAAGGAACTTAACTTATATTATTGAGCATCTACTATGTGCCAGGCATTTTCTCTCCTTTAATCTGCAAATGCCCCCATGTGAAGGTAACTAGTGTTATTCCCATTTTACAGATGTGGAAATTGAGGCCTAGAAAGATTACATACCTTGCCGGAGTTCTCACAGCTAGAGAGTGGTAAGACCAAGATCCAACAACTGGACTTGGATCCTATCATGTGGCCTCTTAAACTCCAGGCTATTCTCTGTATCTTCTAGGACATTATCCTTCCCCCTTAATCCTACTAATTTAAGCCTACCTGGGTTCCTTCCACTTCGAAGATGGTGCAACTGGATGATTCTACCTCTTTCCCTTGTTGCCCCTCTCCTCTGTCTCCCCATACCCTCCCCATAATCCGAGGCCTGGCTTTCTTGTTCCCTCTCTCCCTCCTCCCTTGGAATCTGATTGAAGCCCCTGATGTGGGACTGGGACTCAGTTCTCCACAGCACCCCTGCCTGTACCTCCTCCCAACAACTTCCTCCTACTGCCCATGGAATTTCTTTCGCCCTGCCCAGGCCTGTCCCTAAATGCTTCCTTTGTTCCTTCTCCACACTCATCTGGTTGCCTCTCGCTCTCTGATACCTGGGACAGGCCCTGCAAGGGCCACCCAGCCTTGAACTCCTTCCAGCCTTGGGTGAGGAAGGGTTCCCTGAGAGCAGAGGGGTAGCACAGCAGCAGGTGATGCCATGGCCTGGCCAGAGCCTTCAGGTGCACCACACCTGAGCACACACACCTGAACACTCACCTGGATACGTGTGTTTGCGCTGCCTCCAGGAACAGGGAGATTGGGCTATGACTTTCCTCTGGCCTGAATTAACCACATGGGCCGTTGGCTGTGACATCTGCCAAGTGAGCCAGTTAATTGTCAAATTTGTACTCTCTGACAAACAGTAATTATTCTGGATAAGAATCTGAAATGCTGGATAGATTTCCTTGTTTCCACTCAGATGTCAAATAGCCCAGAATTAATTAGTCAGCTTGACTGGGGTTCACCATAACTCTGCTTCCTGATAGCACTCAGTCCAGGGATGGACAAGAAGGAGTGGGAAGAGCATCACCTGGCAGCCTCCAGACCAGCGGGGGCCCTCCAGGAAGTCACTTCAATGCCCTGGGCCTCGGTCTCCTCGTGGTACAACTGGACTAGATTTCTGATTCCCAACCTGGCTACTCATTAGAATCCCCATGGAGACTTAAAAATCCAGACCCTGGGCCCAGCTCCCAACCTCCTGAATCAGAACCTCCCAGGGTAAGACCTGGGAATCTGTGTTTTAACAATTCACCAGGTGACTTCGGTGTAGCCAGCTCAGTACTGGTCTGAGGACTAATGTTTGGGAACCGCCGGACTCGATGGCCTCAAGGAGACCCTTCCAGCCCTACCAAAAAAAGGTTTAAAATGGGGGACAGGAAACAGCCTGGGCTTTGGCCAGACCAAGACGCTTGGTCTGAATCCCAGTTCTGTCACTTTCCACCTCTGCAGCTCTGGTAAGTCGCTTTGCATCTTCGAGTCTGTTTCTTCATCTGTAAAACAGGGGCAATAATGCCCACCCTGTAGGACCATTGTTAGCAGTAAGTGGGACAACGTGGAAAAGCCAAGCACCAAGCCTGGCACATAGATGTGCTCAACAAAGCCTGGTTTGTCTCCTGCCTGCCTGCCCTTGTCTTTTCTTCCTGCTTCCTGTCTGTAAACCTCCAAAACTGTGCATAATTTTTTTCTTGAGAACGTACACTCCCCACCCCTGCCAGGCATCACCCCAGCACCCCAGAGGTCATCTCTACCTCCTTTCTCACCCACCCTATCCCTGTTCTCCATGAGCTCTGGGGAAAGTGTCCCAGCCCCTCCACAGCACCTCCAACCTTTGAGCGTGGCTCCTCTTCCTGATTCCTGTCACCACAGTCAGCCCACAAAGAGCTTTCCTGCCCAGAGTAGCACAGCTCAGAATGCTTAAGGACCATGGACCGCCCATCGCCCATGCCCAGTAGCTGGTGCTTCCACTTTAGTGGAAGAATTGGGCAATAAGATGAGAAACAAAGCCACTAGGCATGGTGAGATAAATGAGCTGAGCCAAACGATGGAATTGAGAGTGGACAAGGCACTGTATCTGAGCCACTCTGAGGAGCTGGGAGCTCGCCCCCAGAGCCGTGCTCATGGCTGAGTGTTCCTCCTCACATGCCCGCCAGGCTACCAAGCCAGAGCCCAGGCAGGACCCACGCCAGGGCAGGGCTGCCAGTGGGTGCCAAAGCCAGGCCAGCCACCCCAGAGCTGCAGCCACCCTCCCTGGAAGGAGTCCTAACATGCTGGCCTGCTGCAGCAAGAGGGACTTGGAGTAGACAGAAGAAGTATGAGACAGAGAAAGGAATGAATATGTAAATTTTAATCTTATCAACCTAATCTAGCCTGGGAAATGTCCAGAGGCAGAGGGACGGACTGGATGATATCTATGGGACCCCTAGTGGCATTTGGAGTAGAACTGGAAACATTCTGTCCTGGGATTTCCATGTTGCCACACCAAGTGCCTCCCAACACTCTGTCTGCCTGTAGTCTGTAGGTAGAGCTGAGGCCCAGGAGATGAGCACCACAGTCCTGGGTGTCAGCTACAGCTTCATGCACCTTACCAGGACAGGTCTGAGCTTACCTCACCTGGGCCTTCACCAGCAGGCCACAGGTTCTGGACAGGGTTCCTTAACAAACAGCTTGTGTGGGCTGATGTTTGGGTCTGCAGGAGACACCTCCAAAAGATGCTAGGATTGACATGCTCATTCTCTTTGGTCCATCAACCCACTAACCCTGCTCTGTGCCAATGCCCCCAATGTCTGACATTCCAACAGTGCCTGGCCTGGACCAACTGCACAGCTCCACTCAGTCCCCTTGCTTTTCTGTACCATTCTTCCCTGCCTCTACACACATACATAAACACACACACGCATGCGCGCGCGCGCGCACACGCACACACGCATGTGCATACACATGGTCTGAAGTCCCCACCACGGGAGCCTCCCCAGTGGACCAGGGCACTTTCTCCTGAAGCCCCTGCTGAAGCACGCATATCCTGAGTCCCAGCCCCTCAATGCCCCTCCCTGAGGCTCTCAAACATTGGAAGAAGACTTAGGGAGCGTTTTCCTCAAACTCTAGAATCTTGGACAGGTCCCTTTCTCTCTCTGGGTCTGTGTCCGCATCTGCAAGGTAAAGGAGGAGACTGACGATGTTGCTAATACTCCGATCTGATGTTTAGGTACAGCTACTTCTTCATAACTGGGCGTAGGCTCCCAGTCGTGTTTGTGTCGCTCAGCTCTACTTCCTGACCTACATCATGGGACCTCACGGGCAAGGACCATGTCTTTGATTCCTGCAGCAGTCCCAGTACCAGAACACAAACTCTGAGCTCCCGACACCTCCAGAGAGGGCTGCCAGAGACGCTCCTGTCCCCTAAACAGCCTCATGGCCCCTCCAGTGGCACTCAGGCTTTTCTTATGGGGAGATACCCTTGGTTCAGATGAAATTTGGGGTATAAAAAATAAACAAGGGTGTTCTCTGCTTGGTAGAGCCTTCTTGGCACCTCTTTGCCCCCTCTCCTCACCCTTGAGGCCTCAAAAACACTTCTGAGAATCCTAGGGCTCCATAGGGTTCGTGGAAAACCACCAATCTAGCCCAACCCCTTGGTTTTACATCTAGGAAAAAAGAGACTGAGAGAAAAGAGGGACTGGTCCACAGTTTCACAGTTAACTAGAGGCCAAAACCAGGACTGGAATTTGGGTCTCCAAGGAGCCCTGGTGGTGCAAAGGCTAAGCACTGGGCTGCTAACTGAAAGGTTGGGGTTCAAACCCACCCAGCAGCTCCATGGGAGAAAGACCTGGCAAGCTGCTCCCGTAAAGATTACAGCCAAGAAAACCCTATGGGGCAGTTCTACTCTGTCACATGGGGTCGCTATGAGTTGGAATTGACTCACCAGCACCCAACAACAACAAAATCCAGACTGAGGCTCTGCACTGTCTTGGCTGCAATGCATGAGATGACTGCCACTGTTCCAAGGAGGCCCCCTGAGGATGGATTCCGTGTCCCTGCCACATCTCTATCCCCCAGCAAGAAGCTTCAGGCCAGACAGTGGGGGAGGACTGGGAGTACGTGCCTGGGCCAAACAGGGCTTCTGAGAAGAATCTTGGAGTCTGTTCCCATCTCTAACTCATCCCTCCCTGCCCACAGGTGTGGCAAGGAGTACAGGGGAAAGAATATCAACAAGCTCCTGGTCAGGAAGGCTAGGAGGCTGGGAGGAGCTGCTGTGCTACCCCACCCTGAGGCATGCAGAAGCTCTTGAGGAAATTTAGGTCCCCTACATCCACTGGCAGGAAGGTTCACCTTCGGAGAGGCTGCCCACAGCAGGGAGCTGCACAGCTGTGAATGAGAGCGGGCCTAGCATCTGTGGGGCAAGGGCAGCAGCCACAGCTGGGCCCTCAGCCAGGAACACCTCCCAAGACGTGCCACTCACAAGCCTCCACACGCCCCTGCTCATCCCCATCTCAGCCCAAGCATAATCACATACACCGAGCTACGCAATCACACTTACATATCATGTACACAAATATATGCAAGTATCCACATAGGCACATAAACATCCACTTTGCACATAAAGCACTCACACATCCCCCCTACACACACACAGACTTCAGCCCTCATTGATAATGTCCACCTACAGGCATAGTCATGTGCAACCACATACACAAAACCCACAGGGCCTGCTGAGAGAAGGCTGAAGGAGGCCATGGGGGAGTCTGGAGACACTGGGCCATCAGACACAAGAAGCCACAGTACTGCAAATGCAAACTCCAAAGCCAGCCAAGTAGCCAAAAACTTCCTCCTCCTCCTATCTTCCCTCACCCATGACCCATTCCCCGTCGGCCAGTCCAGCTCAGGTAGGAGAATTCTCTCTCCCTTAAAACAACAAAAAAGAAGAAACACCACAGCCTGGCACAGAGCCCAGACTGAGTGTTGTATCTTTGAGTCTTCTTCTCTGATCCGATGTGAATTTATCCTATTTATCAAGCTCCCAACCTTTTCCAAGTGCCTATTTGCTCATCTAGGAAGTGGTCCCGTCTCCTGAGGCCTTAGGGAGCCCCCTCTGATGCCCAGCCTGAGGTGTGAAGGAGAAACAAAGCTTTTCTGAAGGAGCCAGGGGCAGTGGAGACTCAAGCCCAAACACTGAGAACCCCCGGGGGAGAAGGTCACGGCTGGAGCAGCATGGGAGGGAGGAGAGGGCTCCACACCTTTGTGGAGGCCTGGAGGGGCCCAGAGTTACCTCCTTCTCGGCCTTGGCCTCCTCCACAGTCACGGTGCTGTGATTCTTGTGCTCCTGGAACATGCAGAGGTAGCAGATGCAGGTCTGGTCCGTCTGGCAGAAGAGCTCCATGGTCTTGCCGTGCAGAGGGCACTTGCGGGCCTCGAAGTCCCGGATGGGCTCGAGCAGCTGGTGGTCGCGGAAGGCGGCACCCTCCAGGTGGGGCTTGAGGTGGAGCTCACAAAAGGAGGCCTGGCACACCAGGCAAGACTTGACAGCCTTCTGCTTGTTGTTGATGCAGGAGTCACACAGGACCTCCTCGGAGCCTGACTTGGACCGCAGGAGGATGCCGGTGTCAGCCCGGGTATAGCTGTTCTGCCGCGCCTCTCCCGGTTCCATGATGGACACCGTAGGCTTCCGGGGCTCCGAGAAGATGGACCTGCGCAATTCCCCCTTTTCGGCAAAGGTGACAGGTGGCTTCTTGGCGGCCCCCAGCTGGATCCCTGTGTAGGGGGACCGCCTGCCTTCGGCGGAGTCCATGCTGAAGTAGTTGGAGCCCTTGTCATCCACAGACTCAACAAACTGGATGATGGGCCGCCGCCACTCATTCCCGGAGAAGTGGGAGCTCTTCCCGTCTCCTGACTTCAGGGTGCTGCCCAGGCTCTTGCCCTCACCTGTCTCCCCACCGTGCCCATTGGTGATCTTGGCGTCCTTGGCTTCAGCCTTCGTCCCGTTCTCTAGGCCGCTGTTGGGGCCTGGCAGGCTGCGGGCATCCCTGCCTTCTGGGCTTGCCACTTTGCTCCTTGAGGCATTTGCAGCTTCCATGGCAGATCACTGGGCTGGTCTGTTTCGGGCTTGCCGGGGCTCCGGGTGGGTAACCTGTCTGGCGTGTGTCTCAGCAGGGAGTGGGACAGGCAACCACGGAGCACAGAGACACACCTATAGAGACAGGGAGGAGCAGGAGTCGAGTGGGTGGAGCAGTAGGGGCAAGCCTGACACAACGGGCCGGCTGGGGAGAAGCAGGCAGCTCCTGGAGCCAGCAGAGTGGCTAATTACTCAAGGGCCCAAGCCCTGCACATTCATACCTAACCTGATTTTTTAAGAAGTGTTTTTTCTCCCTCTGTTTAATTATTTTCCACAACCCAGCAACCAGTCGGGCTGCTTCCATCTGATGTATTTGCTCCTTATCCAGGAAGTGGGGGGAGCCTCCATCCTCACAGGGGGGCAGGCTTGGTCCCGCTGAGGGGCCCCTGGGGCAGATGTGAGGTGTCCACAGAGGCCCATGGGACAGAAGGGCTATTAATTGGGTCACACAAGCCAAATCGTCTTGTAACTTTCAGGCCTGGATTTCAGAGATTCTCCACCCTGGGACGTGGAGTTGCTTTTCACCTTAAGGGGAGTGACGGGTTCAGTTTGGATTTGGAGTGAAGTGGCTACTGATCATTGAACCCTGTTCTCAGTACTTTATCTATATAAGTTCATTTGATCCTCACTACAGTCATTTCAATTATTCCCATTTAATAGATAAGAAAATGGAGGTTCTAAGAAGATACTCACTGTCCTAAGTCAAGTGGTAGAGCTGAGATTCGAACCCAAGACCCTTGAGATTTCACAGTCCTTTCTTCGAGGGGACAATGGCCCAGGGGGTCATGGAGTGACCTGAGTATCTCTCCAGAAGATGGCTTCTGAAAGTCATTCCTGTCCCAGCAGCCCTCACAAGATGCATACAGACTTTAGGTTATTTCTATAAGGGCAGATCAGGACTTGCTTGGATCCAAAGGACACGGAAACAGTGATGAGGGGCATTCACGCAGTGAGAAGCCAGGTGGTTTGGTCCTAAGAGTCCAAACACTTGACTCTTATCTGTCTCCACAGAAGGTTTGCTGTGTGACTCAGAAAAAAATGTGCTCACCTTCTCTGGGCCACAGGCTTTTGTTGTTGCTGTGTTGTTGTTAGCTGCCGTGATGTTGGCCCCTGACTCATGGCGACCCCTTGCACAAGGGAACAAAATACTGCCCAGTCCTGCGCCATCCCGTGATCAGCTGTGGATGGGACTGTTGTGATCCATAGGGTTTTCACTGGCTGATTTTCAGAAGTAAATCACCAGGCCGTTCTTCCCAGTCCATCTTAGTCTGGAAGCTCCACTGAAACCTGTTCAGCATCATAGCAACAGGCAAGCCTGCACTGACAGATGGGTGGTGGCTGCACAAGAAGTGCATTGGCCAAGAATTGAATCAGGATATCTCTCACGGAAAGTGAGAATTCTACCACTGAACCACCAATTTCCCTCATGGGCCACAAGTAATACCCTCCAAAAGGCAGCCAGAGAAGTATGGGACTCAGAAAATCTCACAAGTGAGCTGCTCAAATATGACTATCGTGTAAATAGAAACCTTTAGGGGAGAAAGAGGAGACAAACTGCTCTAGGCCCTTTCTTTCCCCAACCCCCTGCAGGAACACTGGGCACTGTCCTCTCAGCTCCTGCCAGGCTGTGCCATCTGGTCATCTCTGGGCTACCACACACTGCCATGGTCCCAGGAAGCCCACATCCACCCCCTACCCATCCCCAAGTTAAAGGGCTGTGCCTTTCCCAGGTGGCGCTGATCAGGGCTGAGGAAAAGGTAGGTGTGCCTGGTAGGGCAGGTTCTGGGCTGTGTGTAGGGAAGTGGGTTTCCCTTCCTTCCCCTCGAATCCAGGCCAAGCTCCAGGAGCCCTGCCCCTGCACCAGGCTGAACAGCTAATCCTTTGCAATAACAGCCATTGTGAACAAGGACAGAACCAAGCATGGTTCACAAAGCAGCCAGAAGTTTTAAGAGGAGGTGTGTGGGGGTGGTGTTTGGGAGGGGAGTGATGGCTTCATGATGCGGATTCTCCTCTTATCTGACAGCTCTGTTCTCAGGCCCCACAGGAGCCCCCTCTTGTTTGAACTCACTGATGAGTCAGCTAAGAGCTCATGGAAACTTCTGGATACAGAACCCCTTCTCAAAAAGCCAGGCCAGAAGGGAGAGGTCGAGAGAGAGAAGTATTGTCCTGGTCTGCTGGATGAGGAGGACATTCCCATCCCTTTTCCCCAGATAGAACGTAGCCTGTGAGAACAGATTTTGAGGGGAAAAGAAGGAACAGAAGAGGAGAACCAAAGGGTTTGGGTAATGGATCCAGTATTAATGCTGCCTGAACCTGGGATGCTGCACTGGGAGGCCTTTGCTAGTCCTTAGAGTTCATACACCTACATTCCAGGAATCTGGGGAAAGATTCTGAGTCTTAGGAATAGGCTGACACGAAGTTGGTCAGAAAACATTTGTTGATGATGGATAGATGGATAGATGGATGGATGGATGGATGGATGGATGAAAAGGTAGGTGAATATAAGAGTGGGAAATAGATACATGGGTGGATAATAGATGTGAATAATGAATGGGTAGATGGATGATGGCTGGATACATAGGGAATAGGATAAAAATGAAGGAAGGGTTGGAGGGAGGAAGGGAGATTGAGAGAGAGAGGGAAGTTAAAAAGGAAATGGGATGGGTAGGTAGTAGATGAATGAGTGGACTGCAGTAGTATGCTGGCAAAAGTTTAAAAACTAGCTCTTCCCAAGGAGGAAAAAGACTGGTTTATAATGCTTGCCAATTTCCCTGGTGTAAATACTCTGGAAAATTTCAAGCTACCAATGTGAGGTATACTAGGAAGAGATATATATACAACGGGCTCTCCCAAGGCAGTGGGAGCTGGCTCCAGCACACCACTGGAGGAATGGTGAATGATTGAGGCAGATAAATAGTAGGAGGGAGGATACAAATAGGTGCTGGAGAATACCACCTTCAGTCATCCTGAGGAGAATAACAGGCTCAAATGATTTCAAAGCAAATGGGAAGACAAGGCTAATTTATTTCTTCCATTAGGTTTCCCCTGTGCTACAAGCCTACAGGGACGGCTCCCTTCTCTGAACCCCTGTAATATCTACTGTCTGTCCTATTTAGAGGAGCCCTGGTGGTGCAGTGTTTAAGAGCTCAGCTGCTAACCAAAAGATTGACAGTTCAAATCCACCAGCCGCTCCTTGGAACCCTGTGGGGCAGTTCTACTCTGTCCTATAGGGTCGCTATGAGTCAGAATCGACTCAGTGGCAACGGGTTTTTTGGGTGGTCCTACTCAGAAGGCATATAGCTCAGACCACCTGATGTTAATTGTTCATTCACTCATACCTGTTTACTGAACATCCTATTATGTGCTAGAAACTAAGCCAGGGACTGATCATACAGACATGAATAAGTCCCGTGTCTTGCCCTTGAGGAGCTCACAGTCCAATGGGAAAACAGACCAGTAAGTAAATGATTTTAATTTGACGTAAATAGAGCACATAGTACATGTGAGGAGGTAGGGCAGCCCAGAGAAGGGTACATTCAGGACCTCCTGAGACAGGCCTGTCTCTCCACCCAGGCTGGGTGCTGCTCACTTTGCGTGCACTGGAGCATCCTTCCCTAGCCACACAAAAGAGGTGGTTTTGATTTGATTCAACAGATATTTATTCAGTTGAATTCTCAGCCAGTGCTGGTGGACTGGTCTTTTGGACCTCCTGCACCAGGCCCACGGCCCCTCCCTCTCTTGGGGGTTGCTCCCTCTAAAAGCTGGTGGAGGTAGGCTGGCCTGGGGTCTCTCAGCCTCCAGGGGGTGGAAAGGCCTTCTCTGGGGAACAAACCAAAGAAATAATTCTCCTTCCAGGGCTGGCCTAGCCATCACAACACCACCCCCATTTCCACCAGCTCTCCTGGAGCTGAACTATAAAGGTGAGGGCTCTCATCTGTCGAGTGCTGAGGTCTAGGGTGGACACCGAGGAACGGTCATGCTCACAGAGCTCCCCCCATGCCCTTCGCTACAGCTCAGCCATTTGTGTCCACCAAAGGAGCTGGTGCACCCAGCCCCTGCTGGGGTTCTGCCTCTCCACCCTCAAATCCAGTTGCAAAGATTCCACAGGGGAGCATTTCCTGACAGCCTATGTCTCACATGCAACCTGGCCAAAAGCCCCCAAAGGCCATCATACCCCATCCACGACTGTGGCCTAGGGAAGGCTTTGAAGCAGAGGGAATGCTTCATTTTTAAAGGCCTGAAAAGACAGGGGTCCCATGAATCCCCTCAGTCACTCATGACCCATCTTATCCTGCTCCCCCCTTGGTCTAGCTTAAAGCCTTCCTGCTGTGACATTTCTCCCTATACCAAGTGATAGTGGAATGTAACTGGCTGCCAACCTCTACCTTGCAGGGTTCAGGAGGTAAGAAGAGCCAGCAGGTGTGGCTTCCAGAGAAGGATCCTTATACAACAAGGAGAATTCCACCCCTCCTCTTTGATTCCCTCAGACCAGCTATGCCCTGCCAGCCAAATCCACCCCCCCACTCCATCACCCCGAGTTTCTTCCTCCCACACGCACCCACCAGCCAACCCCAAGCCTCCTTCCAAGCTTCTTTCATGAGGCATCTCAAAGCGGTTCCCCTCCTGGCAGCCTCCCTTGATTCAGTGGGTGGAGCAGCCTCACCCACCCACTGCTGTGGCCTGGTGACACCTGATTCCATCACCAATCATCTTCAGATGAAAGAGGAAATGCCTTAAAAGGAGAAAATTCCTCCAGCTTCCTTGGAATCCCAGGGCTGGAAGGGAGAGGCCAGCTGTTCCATCCCCCTGCCTCTGGATGAGACTATATCTAGAAACTACCTTTAAAAGACCCACAAGTGAAGGAGATTTCACAGTATCCCTCAGCTATTCATTTCAAGCTTTAGTACAGCTCACTGCAGGAAGTTCTTCTTTTGGTTTAACTTAAGTACTGTATAAATGAAAGGATCATATGAAGTTAGAGTTGAGGAACTGAGCTGGCCCTGCAAAGGACAAGTTAAGAGACAATCACACCATGAAGGTAGGGCTCTGGATCCACTTTAATGCTCACTCGTTTCTTTTGACTTCTTGGTACCTTTGTACCTTTGGTGAGCTTCTAGTTGTAGACATCAGCAAGAAGGCTCTGGTGGTCCAATCTAGCTCTACTGGTATAACATAGTTTATAAAGAAAATGTTCTATATTCTACTTTGGTGAGTAGCATCTGAGGTCTTAAAAGCCTGTGAGCGGCCGTCTAAGATACTCCACTGGTCTCACCCCTTTGAGAGCAAGGGAAAATGAAGAAAACTAAAGACACAAGGGAAGGATTAGTCCAAGGGACTAATAGACCACAACTACCACAGCCTCCACCAGACTGAGTCTGGTGCCCAGCTAGATAGTGCCCAGCTACCACCACCGACTGCTCTGACAGGGATCACAATAGAGGGTCCCAGACAGAGCTGGAGAAAAATGTAGAACAAAATTCTAACTCAAAAAAAGACCAGACTTACTGGCCTGACAGAGACTGGAGAAACACTGAGAGTATGGCCCCTAGACACCCTTTTAGCTCAGTAATGAAGTCACTCCTGAGGTTCACCTTTTAGCCAAAGATTAGAAGGCCCATAGGACAAAACAAGACGAAAGGGGCACATCAGCCCAGGGGCAAGGACTAAAAAGCAGGAAGGGACAGGAAAGCTGGTGATAGGGAACCCAAGGTCGAGAAGGGAGAGTATTGACATGTCATGGGTTTATTAACCAATGTCATAAAACAATATGTGTACTAACTGTTTAATGAGAAGCTAGTTTGTTCTGTAAAGCTTCATCTAAAGTACAATTAAAAAAAAAAAGGCTGTGGTGATTCAAAACTTTATTGCAATAATAAAATTTTAAACTCTAATTTTCTCATTTTGCTATCTTGAAATTAGAGGGATTTGGATTATACATTAAGAAGAACTCTCTAGATTGAGAAGTACTGTCCCTGCTATCATAAATTCCCTTTTTGGAATAACTTTAAAAACAGGACCGACTTCTACCTTCCTAGCACATTTCAAGGAGTCCCTGGGTGATGAAAATGGCTAAGCGTGTACTATTAACCAAAAGGTTGGCAGTTTGAGCCCACCCAGAGGCTCCTAGGAAGAAAGGCCTGGCAGTCTGCTTCCAAAAGGTCACAACCATGAAAACCCTATGGAGCACAGTTCTGTTGTGCAACACATGGAGGTCTCTATAAGACAAAATTGATGGCAACTGGTTGCTTTGTTGATTAGCGTGTTTCAGGTATCTACCTGGGAGGCCGGGGCAAGGGAAAGGAACAAACACTTGTGGCTATCTCCAGTGGGCCAGGCATAGTCCCAGCACTGGGATACAGAGAAGAAAAAGACACTGTCCCCAACCTCAAGTGCTCTTAGCCTACCGGGTCCTCAGGATTCAAGAAACAGTCCTCTGATACCTACTCCAAGGATTGTCCTTTGCTCCTTTACAAGCCTTTTTCTCCCTAAAGAGATACTAGGTCTTAACTATCAATCCTAACCATCAACTATGCTGAAGCAAGGTGGACCTCGCCAGGGTGGGCATCTGGGTTGGTGGGATGAACCTGACCTAGGATGTGTTCACAATGGGGAGGGAGCAGTGACAAAGTCATCCCACATTCTTGGCCCCCAGAGGGATCTGCAGTCACAAGTCCCCGGCCTCTGTGCCTTTCCAGCACTGCCCTAGAAATCGGGAAAATGCCTGCTGGCTAAGACTGTCTCCTCCCCATGGCTCCCTCTGGGGACAAGCCCATGTTCACACCTGTAAGGGAGGGTCTGCCTGTGTCCACTCTCCTCCCTTGTCAGGAGCCCATCCATCCTCACTTCGCAGGGTGTCCCCGTCCCTACTGCAGCCCAGCTCTAGCCTCTGGGGCTTCAACAGCTTTTCAGTGAGAGAGGAGCTCCGACAAGGGACTGTGAGGACTAGCCGCTCTGTGGGTGCAGCTAGGGTTGGGGTGAGAGGAGCAGGTGGGAGAGCCTGGGTAGAGGAATCCTGGGACTTACTTGTGTGAATTTGGGCAAGTTACTTAATCTCTCTGAGCTGGGTTCCTCCCCTACAAAATGAGGCTAATCATAGCTCCCTCACAGGACTGTTGAGGGATTAAGGAAAGTAACGATTGTGAAAATGCCTCTACAGTGCGTGGCTCACAGTAACGGCTCAATAAATGTTTGCTTAAGGAAAATGCTTTAAGGAAAGATGAGCAGGGCTTTCCCCTGCTGCAGGAGAATGAGATGGGACATCAGGAATGGGAAACTGGCTAGGTTTACCTCTGTCCATTTCAGGCAGTTGGATCAGGCCAGCCCTATAACCGTCTGCGCCTGGCTCCCATCCACGTCATCTCCCAGGTATCTTCTGGCTCTGAAATTCTATGATGATAGGATGGCATCCTAAAATACAGAGAAGGGGGGTGAAAATAATTAAAGACTTGGAAAACAGGACCTGAGAGGGAAGGGTTAAAGGTGCTGGGATTATTTAGCCTTGAGGAGGGATGGCTTAATAACACCCTTCTCAACCTAAGGAGGGTTATTTGGATGAAGGCGCTGGCCAGATTTTCTCCAGCTCTCTTGAGGGCAAAACAATAGGAAACAGGCTAACAGCACAGCTAGAGGGATTGACGTTAGACAGCAGGGTGTCTGCCTTGCCTGAGATAACATCGGGGGCGACTTGCTCCCTCAGAGAAGTTGTCTGGAATGATTGGCAGATCTTGCCTTGTGATAGGAAATGGATTGGATGGACTTTTGGTTTCCTCCCTGCTTTTTGAAATTCTAGAAATTTCCCCAGAATGATGAAAAATAGAAGAAAAGGGGAAAAGACAAACTGAGAGCAGACTGAGCAGGTGTGGTGGGGCAGCCCAGCAGCAGGAGACCACCCTGCCCTTGCTTGGAACATTCTCAGTGGGAAGGATGACACTGGGGCCCAAGGTTATGAGGGGTCATCTGCTCACACCCCACAGAGGGGAGCATCAGAGAGAGAAGTCTTCTCTGGGCTTGCTCCAAAGACCCCAGAAGACGCCTTCACACCCCATTCCCACCACACAAATTTAACGTGTACTTGCCTGGGTTCAGGCACTGCTAACATCTCAGAAAGGCTTTAAGGAAAATAAAACAAAACATGCTTCTTGTCCTGAGGCTGCAGTAGTGCTCTCTCCCGGGAAATGTGGAGACGGGGCCAATTCCCTCCCAGACTTCTGAGCTCGTACCCATCTTCATCATCATAGTTATCATCAGGATACCAGTACTAACTACTATTTTTTATTGATGGTATACTCTCTGCCAGGCACATCACATAGCTTATCCCTGACTCCCACAATGCTCCATGGTGCACAGATGAAGAAACTGAGGCCCAGAGAGGGGGAGCAACTTGCCCAAGGCTGCACAGCAGAGCTAGAACTTAGCCCTGTGTCATCCACTCCATCTGAACTTCATTATTAATCTATGAAATAGAATCATCCCCATTTTACTGATGCGGAAACTAAGATTGAGAAGTTTAG